GGGGTGGGGGGCGGGGGGGGGGGGGGGGGGGGGGGGGGGGCGGTGTTGAGGCTCACCCGAGGGGCCTTTGCCACAACCCTTTACCTGTAACGTACCCTGCAGTTAACCAGACAGGCTGCACAAAATGCCAATGTGGGTGCTGAACACAGGGTTCAATGACTGGACACATAAGCCAGCCCCGCATCTTCCTTCCAGTGGAGTCTGGGTATGGTCTGCCAAGACTCTGCCAACCTCGGCAGCTGCTGGAAGTGCTGTAGTAGCTTAAAACAGCATTAGGAGAACTTGCTAGAAGGACTCCAACACAAAAGTTTCAGAGAAAAATAGTTTCAATGAAAATACTTCTCTCATAGATGAAAGAAGGCGTTCATCACATAAGGACATCAGGAAAAAAAACAAAAAACTGAGACACGCTGGGAGCAGAAGGGGTTATACAGCTTTTATTGATTTGTCAGTGCCCAGTCCCCTGAGGTAGCTGCATAAGCCAATGGTTAAACAATGTAACTTTCTATGTCCTGTGATAAACAGTATGGAATCATAAGGCTTTTTTTAAGCACACCTGCACTTTTACCATGCTGAGCAAAGTAAAAGTGGCCATACACTGTACAACCATCGCAAGACCTTAGTCTTGCGATGGTTGTAAAGTGATTAGAAAAACGTACGATCTGCCCATCTTGGACAGGTAGATCGTACTCTCGATCATCGCAAGCCCGCTCCGCTGAGGGGCGGGCTTCCGATGACTGCAATGCTGAACGGGCAGTGTGCGCGTGCGCACACCGGCCCGTTCGGCATTTGTCTCCCGAGCACCGTTCAAACCAGCCGAAAATCGTACGATTCTCGGCTGGTTTTCTAACATGCTCCTTAGACAAAAGACGTGCGACCATACAGTAGAAACGATCGCACGTCTTCGTTCACACTGTTCGATTCTCGTACGATCGCGGTATTTCCCGCGATTCTCGTACGAGAATCGAGCAGTGTATGGGCACCTTTACAGTTTCTTTTTATAGGAGATAGCACCCGCAGCTTTTGTCTACTTTTCACTTGCTCTCCCTGTTGCAGACCAAAAAAAGTCCCCAGTTGTTGTTTTTTACCAATCCTCCCGCTCTGCCATCCTGAGCCGCTTGGCCACACACGGATCACTGAGCTGCCAACCAAAGTAAAAGTAACAGCCGGCGGCTCTGGTCTCCTCATCGCTTTGTTAATAGCTGCCATCAGCGGCTTTTTAGCCACTGATGACAGCTATTATTTTACAGAGGAGGAACTGTTCTGGTATAAGTTTATGGTCGCTTAAGCGACCATGAGCTTAAAACAGAACAGTAAAAGCCACCGATGCAAGGCTTACTGACATGGCCAGATGCAAGCAGTTGTGTTCGGCTGTAAGGCGGTGGCAGCGAAAGGGTTAATAGATCAATTGAGTCTGTGAGAATATTTAAGTTTGGGGAAAAAACACCACCGCCTTAAACTGTATATAACCCTTAAAAATTATATGTAATTTAAGCATTTTTTTTATTACATAGTTACATAGTTAGTCAGGTTGAAAAAAGACACATGTCCATCGAGTTCAACCTACAGAGATATGAGAGAGAAAAAAAGAAGAAAACCTAAACAGAACGCAATGCCCACAATTACCCACTGTTGATCCAGAGGAAGGCAAAAAAAAAAAAAACCCTCTGGGCTCGTTTACACCATATACAGTGCGTTCCAGCACGGTCAGCTGCTGGAACGCACTGTATCACATAGTAAACTCCCCCCTGCGTTCTGGGGTGGGAGAGGGCATGGCGGTGCATTGAAATCAATGGCACCACAGGCAGCTTGGTGTCAAATACCACAGCATACCTTCAGAGGTCTAGTGGAGTTCATGCCTCAATGGGTCAGGGCTGTTTTGGCAGCAAACTGTGGACCTACTTAATATTAGTCAAGTGCTTTGATCCACCCAATAAGGTGTGCTGCCTGTGACGTAGACATCACAGGACACAGTAAGAAGTAGACAGGACAAGGGTGTGTAAGTAGACAAGGGTGTGGAAACTTTTTTTTTTAAATACTTGTCCAAGGACTAACCCTAAGGCCCAATCTACTTGTGATCCCAAAAATTATTTTAACCAAAGCCAAACTATGCTAAGAAGCGCTTCTCATTGGTCCGCACGGTCTAGTGACCGTGCGGACCAATGAGTGCTCACAATTTGCGTGCAAAATTCATAGTGCAGGACTGCCCAGGACAGCAGTATGGGGTACGGACGGGAGGGGAAGGACTGTTCGCTGAAAGGTAAGTATAGCGGCGGTGGCTGGGAGGGGCGTCTGGGAGAGGGGGCCAGATTTGAGCAAGTAATTCTATTTTCCTAACTTACTTGGGAAAGTGAACTGGCACACAGTGGAATGGGGGCAGCACTCAGTGCACACGCGCGTCCACTGGCGCACACACACACAATGCCCAGCAGTGGAATCACAAGGGGGTACGTACCGGGTGGATGTCCCCTCCTCTCTTTGCCTGCAAGCATCACAAAGAAAGCCACCGACAGTGAAGAGCACATGGCGTCATTATGCGAAACGTTAAGACGTGCGCACTGGGTGACACACCCGGCCCTGCGCGTGTTTATTCGCATGAAGGCCGGGTTCGTTTAAAAAAAATGATTTTTTAACTTTATCGCTTTTTTTTTTCTTCAAACTAGCGTTTGGAGGTGACAGATTCTCTTTATGGATGTCTCCATAATTTGACTAGATGTCCCCTTATGAGACTCCAGTAGAGAAAGCAATGCTGTGCTCGATCTCCTGTGCAGACAGCTGAGACAGGAAGTGCTGTGAGTACTTCATGTCTCTTCTCCCCACTTCCCCCCACTCTCCATCCTCAAGTAATTTGCTGTGGTCCCAGGTCCCCCAGAAGAGCAGGGGACCCCAAAAACCAAACCAGGGAGGTGGGGTGGGGAACAAGCAGACTGCTACAAGTGAGCTGGGTGGCTATACCGCCACCCAGCTCACTTGTATAAAACGAACGGCAGCTTCCCTGCTCTACATTTAGCCCTACTTGCATGCAGCAGGGTTAAATGTAGAAAAATAAACACCTACCCAGAGCCCAGGACTGCATATCCCAGGCGTTGAGTGATTGCAATCGGGCACACCTGAATTTGTTTTATTTTTATACATAGCTAGAGCATCCACTATGTGATAGCAATCAGGGCTAAGACAACTAATCGATTCTGTCGATAATAAATTGATAATGAGAATCGTTGTCAATGACTTGTTTTTCTAGCACATCCCACAGCTGCTCGATTTGGGTTGAGGTCTGGAGGATGGTGCAGAGGGGCGAATTATCCTGTGAAAGGGGCCACTGCCATCAGCGAATACCATTTCCATGATGAGGTGTACTTGGTCAGCAACAATGTTTAGGTAGGTGGTACGTGTCAAAGTAACATCCACATGAACGGCAGGAGCCAAGGTTTCCCAGCAGAACAGTGTCCAAAGCATCACACTGCCTCTGCCACCTTGCCTTCTTCCCATAGTGCATTCAGGTGCCATCTCTTCCCCAGGTAAGCAACACACATGCACCCAGACATCTACTGGTGTAAAAGAAAACCATGACTCATCAGACCAGGTCACCTTTCTTCATTGCTCCGTGGTC